CTGACCCCCCTCCCCTCCAGAATTTCCAATTTCCCCCATGGGTGACATACAGATATTTTCTGGAGCTACACTAGGTGAGGTCATGAGCAGTTTAACAAGCAAAAACTGTGGAAGATAATTAAATTAAACTTACAGAATCTGTTGATGCTTTCTTTCAAACTGTCGCAGAAAAAGAAAAGTGTACAAAAAAGTGAGTATTCTAATGCTGAATATATGTAATGCTAGAAATTGCCCTATTTTACTATGAAGTCACTGCTTGTTTATGTGGGGGATAGAATCGCCAAATCCAATAGAAAATTCAACAAAATTTACCCTTAGCGAAACAGTTTAATCTAAAATGGTCTGGTTTTCAGATATAATATGTGTTAATATGTACTAGAAATATTCTAAGCGTTTGCTGGCTACTCTACTTCTCTTGGTGGATTGATACAGGTTTTAGAACAATTGTTGGTGCATTTGCGTTGATTTGACCCCCTCCAACGACCATGATCCTTTGCGTTTAAACAATAGATTGTTTTGATGTGACATCATAGTGAAATAGGGCAATTAAAGAAGTGGCATTAAAAATATCTTTCATTTAATTAGCAAAGTAACATAAGATTTTTTAAGATACTTTATTGTCATCAGATCACCAGCTCACTTAAGATACACCGTGCTGATGAGGCCCAATACAGGCTGAAACAGCTGTCCACGGTTTCTAGTTGAGCTGGCTCATTTTTTATGCAACTTGAAGTTGTGAAAGGCTTGTATGCAGGCACTCTTCCTTAGTCGTTTCATCTAAGGCTCGTAATTTATCTATTACGCATGTTCTTATAAGTAACATAAGAGTGTCCTTACTTTTTGACCCTCACTCACAATTCCCTTATTGCACCTTACTATAGGAGGCCTATAATAATTCACATAATATGCCTCTTTAGCTTGGACTTACATGTAATAATGTTTTCTCATTTCAGACTACGTCATTCTCTTGAGCTTTTTGTTTGAGTTGTATAATTAAAAAACACTTATACATATTGCACAAACATTATGCAAACATTCATGCATCTTTTCATACGCAACCATACAAGAATTAAAAATGTCTATTCTCTACAAGGCATGTTTAACCATAGGAATGTTAAAGGGATGTTTAAACATTTAACAAATATTCACTAAAGGTGAAGTTATTATCGGTGGAATATTTACCAAGACCTGAAACTTTGGAAAAACTCCGTATCACCACTCCAGCAGCTGATTATCGTCTCAGAATCACCAGTCAATCAACCAATTACAGCTCAAGAAATCCTATATTCAAGTCTAAAATTATACTCAATAATAATAACTTACTTTTTAACCGAAAGAGCATCTTCTTCTTTATCATCTTCAGTTGTTTCTGTTTCCTCATTAACAAAATCCCACAGCCTTTCAACAATCTTGTAGACAAAAAGAGAGTAAAGAAAACAAAGGCGTTAAATTATTCAGAATTCATCACTATGAAATTGCATGGCACATTGCACTGCCGTTACTCTTTTGCCGACATTATAGCATCAACCTGGGCTTTAAATAACAGCTGGACATCAGACAATGTCCTGACATCCTACCTATAACCTACCAACATCTTACCAAGAACCTAACAACATCCTACCAACAACCTACCAACATCCTATCAACATCCTACCAACAACCTACCAACATCCTATCAACATCCTACCAACATCCTACCAAAACCCTATCAACATGACACAGACACCCTACCAGCACCCTACCAACATGCTACCAACATGCTACCAATATGCTACCAATATCCTAACAGCATCCTAACAACATCTAACCAACAACCTACATCCTCCCAATAACCTGCCAATACACTGTACCAACATATCAACATCCTACTGACACCCTACGGACACCCTACAGAGACCATATTGACTCCCTACTGACACCCCAACGACACCCCCTACTGACACCCTACCAACATGCTACCAAAATCCAACAAACAACCTATCAACATCCAACAATCTACTGGTACTCAACTGACACCAATTTGTGGGTCATATTATTAATTTTTACATTATAACCAGTTTTTGTACTTACCATTTCAACTGCCTTGTTTTTGTAGTTCTTTACAGCAAAAAATCTTGAGGTTGGTTTGGTAAATCCATCTGAAAGTGAAAATGTAATGTAAAGCAAGGTAAACTTAATGAAAGAACTTGTAGATTAATTGGTAGACAAAACATATTAAGAAAAGAGGCAGATGGGCAGCCAAGCAGACAGGCGGGCACATGTCCGAGAAGGCAAACAATTGATTAAAAATAATGCAGTAAGACATGCAGACAGACAGTGACAGAGAAAATATTTCACTGACTGAGATAATCAAATGTTTTTATAATAGCATATGCACAGATAGACAAAACACCAGAACAGGGTTGCAGGCTGGCTAACAGACTGACAGACATTAGAGACAGACAAACAAACTAAGTCAGTACATTAGAATCCTACACATTGATTCAGACAATGATATGTAAATTAACCAACCTGGCTTATCTTTTACAGATTTAGAACGTGATAAATCAAATGCACTTGATGCATCTTCATCTTCCCCTTCAGGATTTGAGCTACTCTCACTAGCAGACCTTGGCACATCTTGGTCATCAGATTTTTCTTTTTCTTGGCCAACATCCTCTGCATTCCTCTCTGAACTGATGTCCGTCCATTCTTCATCTTGGTTTAACTCATTTTCAAGATTTTTAGAATTTCGGTTAGATTTCTTTCTTGGATCCGACTTGCTTGCATTTACTCTGCAATGGACCATAAAACATATTTACAATCCTACTCATTTTCCAAACAAAGAATAGGTTAGGAAGAACATGTGAGTTGAGTGTCATGTACAAAGAACATTGAATGTAGTATATGGTAGTGTGGCAAGTGAAAAGTTAAAAGCATCCCCAATAACAGGTAGTGAGAAAGTAAATGACTTGACACTTAAGTTAAGATATTTATTCTACACAGTATATAGGCTGACCCAATTCAACCAAATCTAGATGTACGCAGACCCTTCTGCCTCTACTTGATGATCCCTATAATAGCATTCTTCCTCCCTCGCTATTCTCCTATTGGCTACTAATGTCATAACAACAGCTGTTGTAAATGAGCAAGTCAGATATCTTGGGCTATGTTTATCAAGTACAATAAATAATGAATTCAAATTATTTGTAACATTAGCACTAAAAACAAACCAACCTTCCCAATTTTGAATTTTGGACCTTGTTTTTCAGGATCTTTAGCTTGTCTGTGAGATCAGCATTCTTTTCTTGTTCCTCTTTCAAGCTCTTTTGTAGCTTTTCAATGTCAAGTTGTTGGTACTTCATCAGCTGTTCATCTAAATCACAATGAATCTTATATAGAGGCTTATTTGCACCATTACATGATGGCAGCCATGACAGGAGGCACAATGCATATGATAGAGTCTTTCCCCCCTGGGATTCAATTGTTCCTGTCTCCTGTCATGGCTGCCATCTCATGATAGTGCAAAGCATCTATTAGACATTTACGGTGCAATACGTAAATAATACACAGGTACATTTTCTTTTTATATTTTGTCGAGTCCATTGGAGTGGGACAAAATTGAAAGATATTAAAAAAACTGTATGCACACATATTCCCATATACAGTCATATGTATTTTTAAATGGAAATACCATCTTATTTGTTCTCCAAAAATTAATGAAAAATGACATTTTCATTAGATGAAAGTGGTGTAATACCATTGCAACTACACATTCATGGTATGGCAGTGTCATCAATTGGGTGTGGTATTTTTCATTCATTATTCTCAAATGTGGTATTAATTCCTAACCGTACGAAAATCACAGACTTGTTACAGACTTGTTACAGGTCTGAGTGTTGTATTTAAAGCCGAACTTCAGTCCAAAAGGGGCAAAACGATATGTCTGCAAGTCTGCCATTAGGCATATACCAACAAAGTCAAGGTTGGAGCTGCTGCACATGATAAACTATAAGAAGATATAACTAGCTAAAAACTAGTGGGGTAAATTATACACAGTGAAAAGATGAAAAAACTTACTGACGTTTCGGCCGCTAATCCTTTGTCAGAGTAAAAGAGAAAGAGGTGCTAGAAAGGAGTGTATATATGATAGAATAAGACAAAAGAAACCAATGAGAATAAGGTAGGCAAGGAAACAAAATCAAACAATCAAAAGACAAAAGAAAAGATTAGTTGAAAGTAAAGCATTCATTAATCCCGTTGGATAAACTATAAACTATAATTTTACTATGTGCTGAAACTCCAACCTCAACTTAGAACTATTAAATTGGTGGGGTCACTGAACGGAACCGTAAAAGAAAAACCTTCCTAGTGAAATATCTTGTTAATACTCCTAATTTTACATTTCCATTCATTGACCACGGATAATAGTTCCAAGTGGAGGTTGGAATTGCTGCACATGGTTTCTCGCACACGATAAACTATAGTTTTGCTATGTGCTGAAACTCCAACCTTGATTTGGAGCTATTAAATTGTGTTCACTGAATGGAACTGTAAAAAAGACTATTGACTTAAGTCTATGTCATTCTGGCAAACCAAAACCTAAGGAACAATGTAAAATATAGTCTTTGAATATTCAACAGGTTCTAGCAGATTTTTTGAATTATTAAATCAATATTTCATGTCGTTGCTTATAATAATATATGAACCTACTTGCATTTTTTTGTGTGCTAATGATGTGACTGATTTGCATAAGCTTGCATGTAAGCAGCCTTTAATACTGTAATTTGAGTATCTCAATACGTATACTAGTATATTTTACCAGGATTCTTCTTTTAATAAGATCCCCAGATAAGAGATCGTGGTTACTAAAATACCTCTTACTAGTATTGGAAAATCAAGTTTTTTAAGGGTGGCATATATTGAATTTAAGCTTAATAATATATTAGCTAGCTAGTACGTATATTGATAAGCTTATGCTTAAATCAGTATTTTAATTAATCTAAACAATAACATTTAAAAAAAGCTTAAAATCTCACCTTTCTCTTGTTCTGATATAATAGTAGCAACAAGTTGTTCCTGAAGTTGTACAAGCTGCATTTCGTAGATCTCTCTTTCTGAATTAGGAAAGCCTTTTTCTTCTTGAGCACTTTGATCAGGAGCCTTTTTCCTCATCGAATCTTTTTCGTTTGATGCTGAATTCATCTCTGACTCTGATAGGGAATTGCCATTTGAATCTTCGGAAAGCTTTACTGTTTCTTTTCCTTTGCCAGACGAGCTTTTATCTGCCTTTTCTGATGTGTGAACTTCTGCTTCATCTAACAAGTCACTGTCTTGTAAATACTCCATTTTCAAGTCATAATACTCGTCTTCACTACTAGTATCAGAGTACTGGTTATTTTGTTGATGTTCAGATGATTTATCTGTGCCTTTAGACATTCTGTTTCGTAAGGCCGACTTTAACATTTTAGACCGTCAAATGTTGTAATAAAAGTATGGAAAGTGAAGTAATTACATCCTCTAGATCCTCGTTAAAACATGCGTAAGATCTCTAGAAGATTTATTCGCACTATTTGCACAAGTGTGAGTTTTGACCCTGCACATTTTCTACTTAGAAGGGAGGGGTAGGGGATACTTGCCATACGCTATATTAATAAAAATATTTTTTTTAACTACTAGAGAAATTTAATCTTAAAGGACGCAAAATTAAGAGGAAAATAATTCGGATAAAAAACTTAAACTTTAACTTTAACGCTAAAAACGCAGTTTTTATGGTGATAACATAAAGTACCCATCCCCTCTCCACTCGGGGAATATTTTCCCGTGATGCAGTTTTCTTGAGGAACGCCTGGTTGTTTAGCGTTTATTATGAAAACTTTCGATTTGAAAAGAAAAACACTTGTGTCCCCGCGAAGACGAAACGTGCTTCTCCTTGTTCTCCGATTACTCGGATTATTCTAGCAAAGATCTTTGGAAGAAAAGCAAGAAGGAAAGAAACTAGACGATGAAGCTAAAAAAAGGGGTGATTTATGGTTTGGTTTCGATCGGGTAGATGGTTTTTCAGTTTTCATTCGTATTTCAGTCTAATCCCAACCAAGAGACTCTGTAATCCGTAGATGTTGAATTCAACTCGACATGAAAGAACCATTAAAGAGCGTCTTCAAGATAAAAAAGAAACCTTACGATGTTTATCTCAGTGAGGACGAGGTGATATGGACTCCAACGGTAAAGGAAGAAGCAGGTAAGAAACGACATTTTTTTGATTAATCCGAGTCGAGACAGACTTATCATGACAGACGGCTTGTACATCGATCGACTCTCAAACTTTGAAATCCATACTTGTTGTGTACAGTAGAAATGAATAGATTCATCGCTACACTGATACTGCTGCCGTCAATCGAGCCTTTTTTATGGGCAACCATTGATCGATAACAAGTCAACTGGTATGGATGGATAACTTTCTTTTTTAGGCTGTCAAAACTCATTTCCTCTAGATTCGATAATTTCGCATCTTTATTAAAAAATAATGAAGGCATCTGACAAGTAATGCATTAAGATAATCAGTCGTCAAGAGAATAAGAGAATTCATCATTTATTTACGATGATTACATTTAATTTTTCATGGTCGAGCTGCCTATACACTTTACAGGAGTTATGTCTAAATTTCCCCCTTTTTGAATAAATATATGGGTGCATAAACCGAAATTTAAAAAATCAAACCTTGAAGGAATGCACTTTGTTTATGTTTGTTCGTGTGTGTTCCATTCAATATTTCAATGATGTGCTTGATATTTGTATAACGTTATCTGACAGCCATGACATGATTAATGTGCACGTGCGTCTGGCTATCAAAAAAAAAAACCAACAGCAAGTAAAAGCACCTTTATATTTGCCTCTAATTTGATCGATAATCAAATTATTTCGTAAATAGAGAAATATAAATATTTCTTTAAGGATGAGGAAAAGTAAAAAATACTTTTAATATTCTGGCTGGTATTTTTTCACTTTTCAAAACTGTATGAAACTAGTGAATATAGGCCGACCTTTGTTTACGTTTTTTCCTCATTAGCATGAAAAAATTTCAAGCTACAAGCAAACCGACTCCATCCAAAGAGAATGTCTTATCTAGTAACTACTGAAAATTTGAGAGTAATATGTTCAATATCTTGGGATTAAAATTTTTTTGAAAACACTATAAATTACAAAGAAATCAATGGTTGTGTGGCAAGTCGATCTTGCCACACGACCATACATTTCTTTGTAAGAAAAATTTACTCCCAAAATAATAAACAAATTACTCTCAGGTTTCCAGTACTTACTAAATAAGACATTCTCTTTCGATTTCTGGAGTCAGTTTGCTTGTAGCTTCCGTTGAAATTGTTTTTATGCTAATGAGGAAAAAACGTAAACAAAGATCGGCATATATGACTGTGACCTTGACTGCAGCTTAAAATTTATCGAGAAGACACAAGTATACATCTACATTAGCAATATACATCAAAGATAAAAATACAAAATGAAAGGGAAAATCATGGGAATCATACCTGATTTCTACTTTTATATAGCTATGTTTTAAGGACATTTTTTCTGTGGATTTGGCAAATTTTACTCGCATTATATCCAGTTATTATGTCTGGATTGTCAATCTGTCAGACTATTTCAGGTTTATTTTTTCTCTTTTACTAATAATTAAAACTATAAAATAAAAAAAATTTCATGAAACATCTTACTACCAAAATTAGTTGTTGCTTGAAAGCTAAAAATGGAACTCACTCAGCATCTCTAAGAATATGTGTGTTGTAAATTATAGTTGCAACTTTRCAAAAAATTAGGAGATTGATTTGTGTTTAAATTCATATATTTCAGCATATCTATTGTTATAGTCTTACATTTTTAAATACTTATACTATATCATTATTTGTTGGGATGCATTTTTTTAAAAAAAACAGGCATTTCCTTAGTTTAGTTAATATTGTTAATATTTTCTTACAGCACCAAAGAGAAAGAATTATGAACTTGTCACAAGATCCCTTCCAATGAGTGACATTATTGGGGCTTTGATAAGAAAGAAGAAAAGCCCCAAGAAATCCAATAAGCCAGGAAGACTTATGGGCCTCACTTTGTTTACATTCAGTAAAGGAAAGGATAGAAAACTGATAGAATCAAGATTGTCTTTTGAGAGTAATGATCAGGAGCTTTGTCAGTTGTGGATGACAACAATAAATGAAATTCTGGAAGGTATGGTAAGATGTTTTTAATGAGATATATGGTCAGCTGAGAGTGTGATAAAAATGGGTATGGCCATCCATCCATCCTTCCATCCATCCATCTGTCTGTCAATCCATCCATTTTTTTCTCATTCTTTTGTTTATTTCATTTAATTCCCTTTCCATTTTTACTTCATTTTTATTTACTTATTGGTTCATTTATCCCTTCATTTAGCTATCTATTCTCTTTTCCTTTATGCTTTTAATCATTTATCCTTTCATTTTCATTTGCCGACATTTCACTGACTTATCATTTCATTCATTTTTTCATTCAAAGAGCGCCCTGGAAGACCCCAGAAGCTAAAAGTGTTTATAAACCCATACAGCAAAAAGGGCAGAGCTCCTGCTGTATATGATACACTTGTGGCTCCACTGTTCAGAAAAGCTGGCATTAAGACTGATGTGATAAGTAAGCGGTTCTGTTATGATAAATTATTACATTATATGCATACTGACTATTATGAAGCATATATTCAATTATATACACTTGATCAGTTGATTGTCTTTGTTAGTGCAATACATATAATGATATATATATTATTTATGACTGTTTCCAGAAACTGAAAAAGCAGGTCATGCTTGGGAATTACTTGCAAAATCACATCTTGATGCATATGATGGGTATGAAACTCCTAATTTTAAAGCATGTGTAAAAAAAATTTAGGGCTCCATGTTCCTTAATTACATATATTCTTATTTATATGAGGGTATTAGCCTAAGGTGTCCCACTGACTGAGAAAATTGGAAACCCTGGAGAAGAGGGGGGTGGGGTGGGGGGTCAGAGAAAGAACAAAATTACAGTGTTTGTGTGGAAGAAAAATGGAAGTTCCTGGGGGTAGGGGGTACTTTTACAAATTCCCTCCTTGTCTGGGTATGGATATTTTCTGCACTACACAATTTCATTATCAGAATATTCAACAATACCAATCTTATTGTAATTTTGAGAACTCAGACATTAAGAACCTGGAAGGAAAAGAGAGAACCAACATGTAACTTTATTGATATGTAATGGAAGATCTAAGGGTCAAACACATGACCACAGCGTTGAGTAATGGTGCATAAGCAGTGCACACTACTTGCAACTCCCATATAAGTGCAAACTACTTGCAACTCCCATATAAGTGCACACTACTTGCAACTCCCATATATTTATAAGTGCACACTACTTGCAACTCCCATATAAGTGCACACTACTTGCAACTCCCATGATAATGCCACTACGAAATCCTTATTACTTACATTGGATCATGGGTTAATTTTTGCTCTTTCTTAACAGGGTTGTGTGTGTTGGTGGCGATGGTATTGTACATGAAGTTGTTAATGGATTATTGCAGAAAGCCCACACGGATGCTGGCTTTGATGTTGTGAATGAAGCGCTACCTGAAGATTATCAAGCTGTAAAACTTAACATGAGAATCGGAATCATACCTGCAGGTGAAGTTTATGGCAATTCACTTGGAAAGCTTCATTTCTTTATATCTTTGTAGAGATAGGCACTCTTATAAAATAAATTAAATTGACTAAAGTCGCAACTAAGATCCCATATTCTAGTGCTAATGGCTTCAATAAATTATCAGATTAAGTTAATAAAAATGCGCGCGCGTAATATGACTTGATGCGGGCATTATCTTCAGTGTATAGAGTTATTGCGCGTGTGCCGATTGCAGAAAACGCTAGTGAGGAGTAGAAACGCGTTCTCCTTCAGAAGAACCGTGTGAAAATTTCTTATCGGTTTTGACTGTCTTCCTTCATTAAATGTCACCTTGATTAATGTATCACTAAGGAGGCGCCTATGTTGAAATTTGAAGACAAGCTTGCAAGTGTGTCATCACTCAAAAATATTGATAATGATAATGATAATGATAGAAATAAAGATAAAAGATAATAATAATATAGCGGACAATTGTTCTTTTGTGTAGCACCTGCCTTATGGCAAATTATCTAAAATAATATATAATACTATATAATATATAATTACAGTCAACTCTCGCCTTGCGGAAACCCCAATATTATGGACACCTTGCTATTACGGACAATAGAAAATTCCACGACAAAAATACTGACAAAGAAATGACCGTAATTAATTCCGGCTATTGCGGGCGCCATTATGGACAATAAGTGACGTTCCGAGGGTGGTCCGCTGTAACGAGAGTTGAAGCGTTTTTGCAATGCGTGTCAAACTGGAAGGTTTATTATTTTAAACTGCTGAGATTACTCCCACCTTTTAAATTTATTGCGAAAAAATATTCGTCCGATTTTCCCTTATCCTGTTCTAAAATTTCTTTTAAATAATAACGCATTTTTTTCCTTTGCAGGATCAACAGATGTGGTTATATCATCAGCACAGGGCACTAATGATCCAGTTACGTCAGCTATCCACATTATCTTAGGTATGCATATAAACAACACATAGATTTAGGGGAGATTCGCTTTGGGTAATGTCCATGCATCTACCGTTCTGCCCAGGCTAAACAAAAAGGGTAAAGTACCTATATTTAACGTCGGTAGCTCCTTCAGTTAAAATTCAATTGCTATCGATGAAAGCCGACGGTGAGCACTTTACCCCCTCTCTCCATCAATGCTCTGTTTTAAGAGTATTAAAAGCTGAAGCTACATGGATTAGAGAATTCGAAACAGACGTGGAGATCCTAAGGATCGAACCATGGACCTCAAGCTCTGAAGACCGCGCACTAACCAACTGAGCTACGCCTGCTCCTATACTAGGCTAGGGATCTAATCCAGAGCTGGACACATTGATGCGCGTGCAGTAAAGAAAAACTGAATAGAAAAAAGTGACTCGTAAGAATTGTAATGGTGAAAATGGGCTCACGTATATTGGTCTTCTTCAGTTTGTATTTTCTGCGCGCGCGCTGTTTTCCTTTCATTTCTGAGATATAAATTAGCTTAGAAAAGTGGAACTAGTTCCAAACTAGGGTCAGCTAGCCTTATAAATTATTATGTAAGAGAGCGTTAGATTCGAATAATGTGGGGYATGCCCCAGACTCTCAGAAACCTGCGGTTTCTACGCGCACCAACGAAAAAACTGACCCCAAACTCAAAATCTCCCAGGTCTGCTTCTACGGATCATCAACCTTCTACTCTTCTTTACCTTTCCATAGACTGCACTATTCACTATCATGATTTCTATTTTTTCAGGACACTGCCAACCACTGGATATCTGTTCCCTTGAGAACGCCAACCGTCTGTTAAGGTTCTCTTTCTCATTGGCGTATGGGTTTCTGGGAGACGTATTGAAGTCTAGTGAGCAATCACGATGGATGGGTCCCAGTCGATATAAATGGGCCGCTGTAAAAAGAATGTGTAAACTTAAGTATGTCTCATATTTTGGCTCTTGGAAAATATTACAACTCTTAGACTAAGAGGGAAATTTCTCATATTTTCTCTTGGAAAATATTACAACTCTTAGATTAAGAGCGTAATTTTCGTTTGATCTTTGTATTTCAGAACATACGATGTCGAGATTAACTATTTGTCAAGCACCGATAAGGAAAACCACCCACGTGACAACCAGCGCTGTAGGAAAGGGTAAGCAACGCATGCGCAATAACATCTACCTCGTTTGATTACTTGTGTTCTGATCCCAGCAAAGTATTCCCACAGGTTCTGCTAAACGAGACGATTTGCAACGGCGATTTTTCGCGCAATATTGAATCGTTAAGAGTTGGCCTCGTGTAACATGGCGAGCAGTTACACTTTCTTAAAAATATTTTATTGCGGCAACATGTTACAGGTTTTTTAACGAGCTTCAAAAAGTCACAGCATTGTTTTCATCGACACTAGAAAAAACGTTTGCGCATGCGTGCATTTTAGCCCGTTTTCTAAGAATTTTGAAGAGTTTGAGTGAGAAAATAAATGTTTGTTTTCTCCAAGTATACAAAAAAGTTCGAGAGTATACTTTTCAAGCATGGACACTAAGTTTTGGCATATTGTGAAGTCCAATTTATCAGGCATGTTTGAAAGTCAAATTTACTTATGTTTTGACTAATTTGAATACGGATTCAGAAGCATGCGCAGACGTTTTTCACTCATGTCGTTTCCATCAATATTTGTGTTGCAGCGCGCGCCACGTTACACCAAGTCAACTTTTAACGCAACAAAGCTGCGCGACAAATCGTCTCGTGTAACACCACCTAACCAAATATCTAAACCTAAAGAGAAAACCCCATTAGTCGCCAATTTTGCGAAACTATAAATCACACCTGGAAGTTAACTATTTTGTTTAACTATCTCTAATTCGCGTCGTTTCATTCTCTAGATGCGAAGTTTGCGAAAGACCAGATCCATCACCTGACGAGGAAACAAAAGGTACTAGTATGCGTCTAATTCTTTGAAAAATATATCATCATCTTATGATCATGTACGTTGTTCACTTGGCCAAGTTGCCACGTTTTTTCAAGTTTTTTAAAAAAACGCCACGAAAGGAAATTAAAAAGCGACTTGAAATACTTTCATGTTTGTAGACAATGTTCTCAAGCGAACGAGTTGTTTGACTAAATGCTTGAAAATGTATTGGTCGCAGTCAGGATTCCTTGATCTATATCATAAACCTTTATGAGTTTCTGTCTATATTAAAAAGTTTTGTCTCTGACTTGAATTAATAAATCGTTTCTACTAGTTCTTTAGCCTTCTTCAATAAAAGTTAAAAAAACTATATATTAATGTTCGTATGTTGTTTGTAAAGAATGGAAGACATTCAAAGGGCAAGTAGCAGGGGTCAGTCTTATCACTCTTCCCAGTCCCTGTGAAATCTCCCCGGACGGGCCATCACCGTCCTGTCACCTTGGCGACGGATACACAGACATGATCATAGTACAGGCCTGCACGAAGGCACAGATGTATTCACATGTACAGAGAAACTTTAATTCAAAAGACCAGGTAACATTAACTCAGTCGAACTTTACTTGCGCCGTATCCTTAAAATGAAATAATGAAGTCGAGCAGTTATTATTATTTAAATACCCCCCCCCCCCCCCCCCCCTATTAGAAATCACACTGTCTTGACTGGGTTTTATTTAGTATTATCTGGATTGTACATAGCATGATTTCAACTTACCTCTAGAAAAATTAAAGGCTAGAAAAAATGCAAATTTTCAATCTTTTAAATGTACTCGATACCTTGTGGGTTCAAGGAGATTTATATAAATAAATAAACAAATAAATAAATAAATAAATAAATAAATAAATAATGGGGTTCTTATATAGCGCATTTCAATATCTCAATGCGCTTCACATTCTTAACCAGTGGAGGACTTTACAGACTGCGTATTAAGGCGCTAATGGCAGCCGGGCAGCTTACAATCATGAGTGTGAAATGTTAGTAGATTAGTATTCAACGGGGTTGGCCTTTACCTTGGAAGGCATCATACAGCGTCATACAGCGTCTTCTGAGAATTACCTTATTCTTTATGCTTGTTATATTTTGTCCCCCAAAGGGGATGGATGGTCCGCACTCCATTACCCCTGTATCCATCCTTGCTCCATTTAGTAGTTTCTGAGTAAGTATTTTTTTAACAAAAGGAAAGTAGGACATTACTTACCCTTATGGTCGTTCTAGATTTAAACTTAAAAAAGGTGGTATTATACTAGACGATTATAGCGTTAAAAGTTGGCCTCGTGTAAGTGTGCACAGATTAAATTTTTATCAATATTTTGTTGCGATGACATGTTGCAGGTTTTTGAAACAGCTTCAAACTCACATTGTTGCCATTATCAATTTGTGTTGCCGAGCGCGCCACGTTAAACAAACCCAACTATTCACGGGTGGCATGGGTGGCGTAGTGGTTTACCGCTCGCCTCTCACCACTGTGGTCCGTGGTTGAATCCTGGCTCAGACTGGATCATATGTGAGTTGAGTTTGTTTGATGTGTTGTTCTCTCCCTTGCCACGAGGGTTTTCTCCGGGATCTCCGGTTTCCTACCTCCGTAAAAAGCAACATGTGAGTTGAGTGTTGTATGTTGTAAATATAGAATGTAGTGGTGTAGTGGAGGGAACCTCACGAAAGAGCCCCGCATGGGGAGTGCTGGTTGTAAAATATGTGGGTTTTTTTTTTTACGCGAAAGCTCGTGTGGTGTAACTTCACCTTAAGCTTGATTTCATTTATCTCCTTCCTTTAGTTTGACTTTGACTTCGTGGAAGTGAATCGCGTAAAGCAATGTTACATCAGGGCTGTTACTGACTACGAACAAAGACACAAAAACGACGGCGAAAGTCAGCGTCTTACTTCTCTTCCAAGAAGCATCAGTAGAGATCGTTCTATTGGGGTGTGGAACGTTGATGGAGAACTACTTAACGAACCATCCGTTCTTGTTAGGTATACTACATATATTTAGTAAAAACGCTACGTCCCAAACACGAGGGCGTGAGCTAGGTCATTTTCATGCGCGCGCATTTCTTAATGGACTACGTCGACGATACGGCGGTCATCTTGGTTCGCAAGGCATTATGGGACGTCCAGGGAAAAATAGAGCTTTGTAACGGTTACAGAAATGACGTACATTGACATTAACAGCAACGTTACATCTGTAGATTTCTTCTGACTCTTAACTCTTAAGATACTACCATTTTGTTTGGGTCAATGATCGCTAATCTCGCGCTTTTTTTT